GCTGCAGGGTGGGGCTACTACTGAAGGAAAGCGGGTGCTAAAGGTGCGTTTGCCTCGCCTGGCAGCAGCCTGATAGAGACTGGAAAGCTCCTTTGATGGGGTCCGCGGTAGCCGGGAGGGCCTGCGATACACTTAGAAAGCACAGTCCGAGGAGCTGGTCGGTGACGACACCTGCTCGCGCGCGCTCTGTAAGTGTCTGAAAATGGCGGATCAGTCGTGAACGGGGCACGAGGACCTCGGAGTGGTGGTGGCTGTGACCCTGGTCGTGACAGCTGAGTGACCTTGGCGTGAGCTGTAACTCGCATCATGAACGCCTGCGGTGCAACGCGCCATCACACAACACCGGTACAGGACACGCCAGAAGTGGCGGTGTGACCCGATACATGACCTGGTTGCCTGGTTGCCGAGGTATGATCGGGTCGGGCGGTGCCGACTGACAGATTATCCAGCCCCCTGGCGGTGCACAGCATCGGCGGCAGCCACGTGACCCGAGCCTCACCGGGAGCGCTGAGGTCATCCGCATCGCCCGCACCGGACACCAGATGTCTCTCGGGTTGGTGGGCGGGGCCGCCGTTGGAAGTCTGCCCTGGCGGCGGCGGGAGCTCAGCAGGCGGCGGCGGGACCTCGAAGAAGAACGGCGCGGGGACCGGATCGACAGGGGGCGCCTCAGCAGCGAGCAGTGAAGCCTCGGACGGGTACTGGTGCACGGCCGGTCGGCCAGCGCTGAAGGACACGCGCAGCTGGAAGTGCGCGGACGGCACGCGTCAGTCCCCGCGGCAGCCACGGTGGTCCATCACTGGCGCCTCGCACTGGCCTACAGTCTCAGCCATCTGACCGTGGCGGGCTGTTGCTGGCGTATCTAGCAGACAGAACATGACCGCAAGGTATGTGTGCGATCATGCGTGCGCCACAAGTTTAGGTATGTGTGCGATCATGCGCGCGCCACAAGTTTAGGTATGTGTGCGATCATGCGCGCGCCACAAGTTTAGGTATGTGTGCGATCATGCGTGCGCCACAAGTTTAGGTATGTGTGCGATCATGCGCGCGCCACAAGTTTAGGTATGTGTGCGATCATGCGCGCGCCACAAGTTTAGGTATGTGTGCGATCATGCGCGCGCCACAAGTTTAGGTATGTGTGCGATCATGCGTGCGCCACAAGTTTAGGTATGTGTGCGATCATGCGTGCGCCACAAGTTTAGGTATGTGTGCGATCATGCGTGCGCCACAAGTTTAGGTATGTGTGCGATCATGCGTGCGCCACAACTTTAGGCACATGAGAAGTTTTGCAAAGAACAGACGAATACGAGAATAGATGGGAAAGAACAGACGCCAAGAACGGAATAACGGCAAAGCACTGCAAAGGTAGTAAAAGAAAAAAACGGGAATGTATCCTGATGAATTCGGGCAGTTGACATTGAAGCTTAGTGCAGTTACCATTTCAGCCCTGAGCAGCCACTCGTATTGCAAATTCCACTCCACTTACTGTCGCCGGGATAAGCCTCCCCCTTTTAAGTTTGATACGATAGGCTGCTGGGATCGTCTGGGATCTTTTGCCTGGAGAAGCTCTGCCGTTGATGACAACCAATCAGGCTTTTGGCGCTGCGCTGCCTTCAGTGTCACGGCTACTGGGTGCACGGCCGGTGCTCCCGTGACCCATCATCCATGGTGAGAGCTGAGGGCAGCCCCCCCCCCCTCTCCACTTGACGGCTGTGTGCAACATGGTCATGGCTGGCCCATCCGGTCATCGGGGCTCGATGGGAGACTTTGTACAGGGATAAGATAGCTTGCAAGGCCTCCTTTCCCAGCACCGTGTGATGCAACGGTGACTCAAACACCCACAGGTCGCAACTTCCTTGTAAGGTTAAGCGCGGCACCACAGCGCCTTTCTTACGGATCTGAACGCCGCCACGGCACCTGTTACATCTGTTGTACGGCGCCGGCCGTTACATCCAATTATAGTGGGAATGTGATCGTGGCAGCAGAGATAAGCGATTGCCCAGCCCGTTAAGATTGGCTATTGTTGTGGACCGCGAAGACGATTCGGCGCCTTCAGCCACCCATGCTCGGCACGCCTTCGAGCCGATTCCGCGCGTGAAATGACGGCGGGACTGGTCGGGCGGTCGGGGCTCCCGCGGCATGCACAGATCTCTGGACAGAACTGCCGGCGCTGCGCCTCACCGTCCCGCCGTTGGACCTCTGACGCAGACTGGAGCGCTCGTTGATAATGACGCCGGCGTTGAGGAAGGTGACGAGGCAGGGCGGCGGCGCCTCCCGAGGTCGGCTCAGACTCAGGATCAGGTCGTCGTCGTCGCACGACTCGCCCGGGTCGAAGCCGGGCAGCAGGACGTAGCCGGAGTCGCCTGGCTGAAATGGCCGGTCGAGGCTGTGAGGAAAGCGATGCTTCAACGAACGAAGGATGCGGGGAAGCGGAAGACACGGTATGAAACTGCTCCCCCCCCCCCTCCCCGCCTCACCCTATCGCCCCAAACTGACATCCCTGTTTTGTGTTGCTTCGTACAAATAGGCACGGAGGCTGATCTCTGCCGGCAAATAGGGTTACTATACAATCAGCCTTGGTGCGAACTGTATATGACGAGCGAATATCCCAGAAGGCTTGTCGTGCGTACGAGCAGAGCGAACAAGCGTCATAAAGAACAAACTAGCATCGCTCCTGTTTTGAAAGATCACTTAAACTTTGAGCAGCATGGACGCTGAAATGAGACACACAGGTTAGGGCTGGTGGCGGACCCCGTCGCCAACAGACTGTTTAAAACCCGAGCTGAAGTCCTTGGAGAAATTGGCAGTCATGGCCACCATGGGAACTTCAGGTCATCTTGGCTCCGAGAACCGCCATCTTACACAGGGGTCAGGGCAACCCTTCGAGATGGCACAGGATGCATATCAAGGGAGATGTTTTCCTTCAAAGGCACACATTGACAGAATTATTTAAATATGTTTAATATCCTGGCATGTTCACTGCTAACCACAAGCACTGCTGAAGATCTCTAATATTGCCATACTGTACTCCGACATTGGCTTAAACGTCCTTTCATTCGCACCTTCTGGGTGCATCGAAAACGGGGATATTATAAACAAAACGCAAAACATTCAAGTGTAGACTGACAAACACTGACGCGCGGGTGACATTTGTGTTAATGACGATGCAGTGCTGTGTACTTGGGGATATAGCTCAGCTCTGATTCAATTCACCCAATCCACTAAACCTTTGGGAACAGTTCGCTACCAGTAATTTGCGTAATCAGACATGTAATTTTCGCCGCACGTAATGTGAACGTGATGTGTATAATGTGATGTACGTAGTCAGAAATGCAGATTTACTGAGATTGTCCGGAAGCATCGTTTGAGTTGAAGTGTTGTGTTGTCCGAGTTGATGTGTGAAGTGTTACGTATTTGAAAAGCTTCAGGAAAACTGTAATTGCCACCAGGACAAAGGTTGCATCTCCCTTATTTCGCCGCTGTCACTCGCCAGCGCTGCTGCAATGTTTCTGTCTCGTCACACTCTGTAGTGACTACAAAACCCGCACCCTGCGAAGCACCGGATGTGCTGTTTCGCCGTAGAAGCGGGATTCGCTCTACAGTAGCTGCACGTCATCAGTTCTTTCATCGCAACCTTCGTAAATTATTCATCGTTCATTACGTTTGGTTTCTCCAGCATTTCGGAATGCAAGGGGTTCGAACAGGAGCGTCACTTTATTTACTTTCGTGGGGGACTGATCCCCCCCCCCTCCATCCTACCCCGATGCTGATCTGACCCCCCCCCCCCCTCGGCCAATGCTCCTCTGAGCCCTTAAAGTGACTTTGTACCAAATTAATTTGTCGTAATTTGCATCACGACAAATAACTGGGTGCAGTCAATGGCAATGAGTGCAAATACAGTTAATGAACTGGTACATTCACTGCTGTAAATTTCGCCACGACTCTTGCTTCAGCTTCGACGACAGCGCGTTGTATTTGGCGCCGTTTTTCGAAATAGTGATATTCCCGGCTTGCCCGTGATTACTGGCGAAAACCCCGTCGCACAAATTCGTATTGACCACATAAATTGCTGACGGAAAGTTGATCGACGCATTAAATTTGATTCGCGCATCTACCCCCTCTGGCTGCCGGGATACGGTAGAAAACGTGAAAACGGTAAACAATGGGCAAATCCATTTTGACCGCTGCTGAGCACGTGACATATGGCACGCACGACTGCACATCTGGCGCCACACAATGCCCCATTGAATTGTCTACCAAGTCATGCGAAATTCTTGTCGCTCCAATCCGTGGCTACCGGGATGTGGCCGCGGTTTGGAGCAGCTGCTCTTTGGCTTTGTTGAGGGTCGCATTTGCAGGCGCGCACCTTTAAACAATAGTCATTGTCGAAATGCACAGCGCAAACGGCTGCACCAACGACGGTGCCGTTTACACGTACCACGTGTACAAGCTTTGTGATATTCAATTACTGTTTTTTGTGATGTTTCAATTTTATAAATAAGATATCACGAAGTATATGTCATTATTAAGTAAAGTATAAGTATATTATTAAGTAAAGTATACTATGTCGCATATTTTCTATAAACGGCACAATTTCACGCTGATTCCACAACGGTGACGGCCGTAGCGTGTGCGAAAAGGAAAGCATGTTCGCAGGTTCTGTCACGATAATCTAACGTGAATGGGGGGGGGGGGGGAGGGGGGCAGAGCAAGATCTGAGGAGTGAAAAACGCCTGAAGAACACAACAGCTCGAGCTGGAATGAACTGAATGGCCCGTTTTCGGAATGATCTCGAGCTGCAAGGCGATTTGCAAGGAAACAGATGGAGAACTGATGTAACCGCGTACCGTAAATATTTGTAAAGGAGCTGCCAGTGCTGTGCTTCAAAACGCACGGCAGTAGAAAACTGCAGTTTGCGTTAGCCACAATCCTGATTGTACAGGTTCCTTTTTTGACGTGGTGAACTACACACAGATGAATTTAAAAGACTTGGCTGCGATTACGTGTTGGTTGAGACCGAATGGCGCTTAACTTTGCAGTGTTGGTGCAGCTGCCACAGCGATTTTGCGGAGACAATGTCGCAGAATACAGATGATGTTCGGCAGGCTCTGCCCTATTTGCCTGCCTGCATACTACTTTCTGCGAGTACTTTTGTATATCTGTCTGTTCTATTTTGCGTGGCGTCGTGCCCGGGCTAAACGCCTGGTTGCTGAATGGTAATATTTGGACAGGACGCGCGGGCGTACAGGGCGGTTGTCCACAGGTAGCTGGCGAGCTGCTGTGGTGCGCCGTTCGGACGTAGCACGTGTCAGAACGGTCGTTTTAGACCCATTAGTTTTGCACGGGCGGCCTGAAAATGAGACCCATAACAAAGTCGATGGGCAACCGTTCCAAACCGTGTCCACATCTCAGTAACCAGGAGCCGGAGCGACAAGACGTTGACACACATCGGCAACAATGGCACGGGAGGCCGCTTGGTGCCAGACTGCGGTCGCATGTGTCGCGTGACACTTGCGCAGAAGCAGTGAATGAGGATTTGCATGGTTTCACAGTTTTGCCATTGGCAACCAGGAGCCGGAGCGACAATCAATTGACACGGCTCCCTATACAATTGAACGGTAAATCGCTTGGCGTCAAATGTGCGGTCGCAGTGTCACGTGTAACGTGCGCTGAGCTAGGAAAGGAGGATTCTCTGCTTTTACGGGTTGTCATGTTTTATACAATATTCCGGCAGGCGAATCGGTTGGAGGCGCGAATCCAATTTCAAAACAATAATCAGCGTACCTGCAATTCATGTCCGTTCTTCAATTCATTCAAGTCTGCAATTCATGTGAACAGCACGAGCTTGAGCGACGCACAAACTCGTGCTGTTCACATGGGTCGCACCTGCGGCTGTAATCGTTGGGCAACTCGGGAATGTCGGCATTTCAGTATCTAGCGCCAAATATCCCACGCGGTCGTGGAAACTGTACTTAGAGTCCTGCTGGAGCTCACATCACTGCATGCGCCAACTCATTGTCTGTATTTACCACCACTTATTCGCCATCCCTTGGTCTGTCCCGTCGAAACAGGAACTTTACTTAAAGAATCGCAATTCATTATGTTGGCGTTGACAAGATACTTGGACGTCCATTGCCCAATCAATGGACGTGAGCTTGATCTAGTCCGTTCCGCTTCCGTGCTGAGTAAGGATGGCTCGTACTTCGACAGCCCTTCGAATCCGCGCCCGAGTCAGGGCAATTTCGCAAGATATTACGGCGCTACATTGCGTCTGCATGGGCGTCGAAGGACCCATGCGTTTCTCAGTGCACCCGTCCTCAGTCTACGCAGGGATGGGCGACATTTTAAGCTACGTGGGGGCATAAACCGTCCTTCCATTGCCGATGCACCAGATGGCGATTGCAGACTGTATTTACAGAATTATAGCAGCATTACCGGCTGACACTGGCAGGTGCGATAACCTGAGATAAAGCGACACACAGGCGTCATCTACGTGCACCTAGACTAGCCAGGTCATTCATTGCCTGCCGATAAACCACCGCCTGTCACATGTCTTCGAACCAGCCTGTCGTGACGGTGCGTGCGATATCAGCCACGGAAGATCTTCCGTTACATCCAACATTTGACATGTTTTATCGTATCCATGTGACACAGAGTCGGGCACTCCTGGCGGAGGCCCGGAGCCTTACAGGCAATGACGATTGGGCGTCGGAAGAGGAAGGCATGGCGTCGAACAGCGACGCCAACTGACCAGTTCTGCTGATGGCCATCTCTGTAGTTGCTACTTTTGTTAAAGGCTTAGAATATGTACAGGGTTATTCCTGTTTTTATGCGCTAAACTTCAGGGTCCGTAAAGACATCGGCGAGTTCATGCACGTGAAATAAGGCGATCTACACCAGTGCCCCATTCTCATCATTTCCCATTTTAAAACAGTGCACATCAGGAAACTTTTACTGTACTGTAGAGAGTTCATTTCGGGCCGCAAGTCAGAATCCAAGCAAAGTTTCGCCGAGCACCAGCGTATTCACTTGCGGAGAGAGCCTCCGTGACGATCACGACCCCAAATTTATCGCCCCTGCAATTTGCTTATGTGGCCGGCTACAGCCCCAACCCAGACCAAGCGGTAGTATAGGATATTGGAGAAATGTGGGGCGATAAGTTTGCAAACGTCAGGCATGAGGTGGTGACGAATTTTACACCAACAGAAAGCAATGGAGGTACACTTTTTAACACCATGGGATATGTGTATCTGTCAGAAAAGGTACTTTCAGCGATGACCCGCGGCATTCTAGCGAAAGGCAAGGGACTTATTTTTTGTCCAGTAATGTCAAGGTGAAAGGCTGCAGACTTCTTGAGATATTTTGGATACACCGATAGATATTTGGATATTAAAATATGTATGTGGATATACCAATGTGCATGGATGTACTAAAAAACGCGGATGTACTAATATATGTGTGAATGTACCCGTGTATACATCGATATATATGGATAAACCAATGCGCACGTGAATATACCAGTACATGTGTGGATATGCGTGTGAATACACCGGTATATGTGGAGATAATAGCATAGTGGACATACCAACTGGCCAGCGTCTCAGTCTGCCAGCTGACCAGTGTGACAGTCTGTCAGCAGACCAGTGTGACAGTCTGTCAGCAGACCAGACCAGTGTGACAGTCTGTCAGCAGATCAGTGTGACAGTCTGTCAGCAGACCAGACCAGGCCGTCGCCGCGGCAGCACCGCCCTCGAGGACCCGTGACGCGTCCATCGTCAGTCATCACGGCAGAACGACATGCCGCATGTCCACTGAGTACCGCGGCCTTATCTCCCGGCCACCACTGCCTGACACACTGCGACACGTACCCAGGCTTCGGCAGCGGCTGTGAGGCGCCGGAGACGTACCGACCGGCGGGACAGAGGCGGCCAGGACAGGACGAGCCGTCCAGGTCACACCGGTGCACCTGACAGCGGACCACGTGACCCTCCAGCCCGGCGCGCCCGGCTCAGGTAGCCTGGCACGGGGTGCTGGCCGCGGATGAGCACCAGCACCGAACCCGCCGAGGGACGGGCTCAGCACGCGTCGCCGCACGCGCCTACCGTTAGTGACGTCACCGGGGCGACGTCACGACTCTCGGTAACGGGAGCGGTCTGCGCGCGCCGCCGCCGCCAGAGAGCCGCTGCCACGGTTGAACGGGTGTCACGGCACGGAACGGCCGGTTAATGCCGCGCGACGCTCGGCTACGGTAAATAGGCGCTCCCGGTTTTTGTGAGAGGTGGTTTCAGCACCACACAAGTGCGCTGTGGTGGCGAATCGCCGATCATGCGGTGGGTGACGTCATGGAACCGCTTGGTCCGTGCATGCGGTCATGTTTCTAACTGCAGCGTTCGTAAACCCGCATCGTCATCATCATCTTGTGGTTAGTGTTGGTCTCAGGCGATAGCTGATCTCTTAGATTTAATTATCCCGTCATTTGCATTTCATTTCGTGGACGGAAAGATGGGACAGACACAAGGAACATGTACGGGCAAATCGGCCCCGTATCATGGCTAAACATCTAGACCTGATGCAGTGTAGGCTACTTTGACAGATAGGCTTGACGAGGATGCTTAGCTGCATGAATGAAGCACAGGCCATCAGACTCGATTAATACACACATATGACTCCAAATAAAGCACACAGAGATAGCTCACATAGGCTGACCCATCCTTGAGTATGCCAACCTTTCACAAAAGCCGATTGGTGCTCGCCTGCGGCGCGCCCCGCTAAAACGGCTATGCCTGACAGCGTATGTTACTAAGCTGACGCGTGGACTGGCAGCTACAAGTGCCTCAACATCCTTGGTTTGTGTTTACTCCAAGTCCTGCGAAACATCCGCGCGACCCTGCCCAGAGCGTATTCCATTGTCTCACCTTGGGGTTGGCCCTGCGGTGGATGTCCATGCCGTCATTCTCGACGTGGTCGGGCACGTCGCTGCGCTCGGTGAAGTCATAGATGGTGGATTTCGTGGCCCGCTGGTGCCACCTGAGCGGGACGGGGGCCGGCTCAGACGAGGGCGACGGCTCCGCAGTGGGCGCCTGACCTGCGACCGACCTCTCCTGCGCGGGCTCTGATCCCACGCCAGACGTCTGCGAGGCCCCGACTGTTTGAGCGGGCTGAGGCTGCGCCGTCAGCGATGGGCCGCGAGGCTGCGTTTGCTGCTGAGAGTCGCTTGTTAGCCGCCTGGGCTGAGTCTGTCCCTGAGTTCACGGACTGCTTGGATATTCGACTGGGTGGCTGCACGCGGTTGGCGTTTTTCAAGCCCGCTAGTCCCGAGGAGTGCACCAAGGGTATGCCACTTTTGTTGTTTGACAATACCGCGGTCGCTTTGTCTTTCTTGGGGGCTCTGTTGCCTTCTAGCAGTACTTTTGGTATATTGTTTGTTCGTAAAGGCCGCACATTCACCACGATCCCATCATTTGTGCTACTCTTGGCCTGGTTCAACGCATTCTTTCGCTTGTCCCGCTCCTCTTGGGGCTCCGGCTTTAGTGTTGGCTTAATAACCCCAACCTGCTTGTTTTGCAGGAACGGTAACGTGCCATTTGTACCACGGGTAACCTCTGAGGACCACGTGCCATTGTCTTTACCAGACGCATGCGAGATATTTGAATTAGATGTCACGACCGGGTCCGTCGCTGTGGTTTCCCACGAATATTCAGTCTCGTTTGAGGGGATCCCATTAGCAGGGGAATTCACGGTTAGTCCGCCACCAGGCCATCCGCCCTCCTCGAGACCGTTCTTACCGCTGCGCTCCGGCCCGGCGTTGGCTGCACCACCGGTGGCCGGCTCCTGGGCGCCGCTGGCCCCTTCACCCTCCGCAGTCGGCAGCACACGCGACAAATGGGCGGCGGCAGCCGGACCGTCGCCGCCTTCCGCCGTCGGACCAGCGACTGGCTCCCGCCGGCCTGGCTCAGGCCCGACGGCTGGTCTAGCGGCGGCCACGCGCTGTCGCGGCCTCGGAGCCGGCGGCGGTGTCGCGCCGGCCGAGGGCGAGCGACGCTGGGCACGGGGCGGCGCCTTCCCCGCCGCAGCACGGACCGGCGGCGGACGCGCCAGGCCCGCCCGGCGCGGCGCCGCCTCGAACAGCTTCCGAGCGGTGCTGACCGTGTCGGCGGCTGGCAGCCAGTCCTCGCGCTGCGGCTGTACCGCCGGCTTCACCACCACCGCCTTCATTGTCGCGTGGTCGGCTCGCACTGCGCCTACGCCGGCTATCTGGCGACGAGCATCCACGCCGCTATCGCGCCAGCCACGCTGATCGACGTCGGCCGCGGACCCGCGGGCTGATATCAAATCGTCGACGGACTTTGCCTTTCTTATCGACTCGCCCCAGGCTGGCGGCACGTTCAGCACGCTCCGGACGGCCAGCACGTAGCTGTCCTGGACTGCACCGCGCTCGAAGGCGCCCTCCTCCTTCAGGATGTCCTTAAGGCTGACTGCGCGAGGCAGCGCACCCTCGGCCGACGCCTTCCTTTCCCCGCGCCATCGAGAGGTAGCGAGTCTTTAGCCGGGACACGATGCCCGGCCCGTACTGCAGCTCCTCGCCGCTGGAGTCGGAGTCGTCGGAGCACCCGCCCTCGACCGGCTGGTCCGGGCCAGCTGGGGTTGCCGCGGCGCCGCAGCCCATGCTCTCAAGCCGCGGGGCCGTGCTTGGCGGCGCTCGCGGGGCGGGCCCGCGCACTCGGCGCCGTCGGGATGCCAACGATCTCCCCGTAGGCGTCGATGTACCGACTGGGGGGCCGGCGGCGGCCGCGCGCCGCGCCGCCCGCGCCGGCACTGGCCGGGGTTCTCCCGACGGCTGGCCGACCGCCGCGCGCCGGCGCCAGCGCCGGCGGACGGCTGGCAGTGGACACCGCCGGCTGGCTGGTCATGACCTGAGACGCCGCGGGCGGTCGGGCTGTCAGCCCGGGTACCGCGCGGACTCCCCGCCGCCGCAGCAGATCCTGCCTCCAAGCTGGCTGTGGGATGAGCGTTGTCATGATGAGGCCGCTGTGCCTGACTAAGGCTGTTGAAAGTACGAGCTAAGGGTGATTTGTGGCTGGAGCTGCTCTTCCTGGACAGGTCAACCTTGTTCGATGAGCCAGAGGGCTGCGATCTCACGAAGATAACGCGCCTGCGAGCGATGACGCAGCCATGCCCAGAGTCCGTTCTTGGGCAATGCTTCCGTACCTGAAGTGCGGAAACTTGGGCTTAACGAGAATACCGTACCTGACGGAGCGACCGCCCCTGTCCGGGAGCGGCCGCTGCAGCAGCTGGGAGTGGCCAAGTGCTGCGGGTTCCCCCAGCAGCAGCGACTTAGCTGGCCTCACAACCGCGTCACGGCTGACCCGCACAACTCTTCCGAGGCTGGAAATCGGAGGGACAAGCGCGCCGCTCTGGCCGCACCCCTACCGCGGACGGCACTGCACGGTGGCGCGCGTCGGAAGAAGCCGTACGGCAGCGCGGAGCGCCGGGTCGGCCAAATCGATCCGTCCTGACCGGGCACCAGCGGGCACCGCCAGTTCTCGCGGGCCCAGCGCCGCCACCACTACGGCCGCTGAACGGCGCTCGTTTTCTGGACCAGCTGTTCCGGAAATCGGCGCTGGCCGCCGGCGGAGGGCCGAGCGGCCAACCGTGGCGGCCGCCGACGGAGACATCTAGCGGCGCCGGAGACATCGAGGCGGAGCTAGCGGACGCAACACCCATCACGCTGATTCCTCAGCTTCACCTTGTCGGCATTGCGTTGCCTTGCCACTCCTCGCTTTTAGAGTTTGTTCATGCGTATGTGAATTATATTTCTAGATGTTACGCTCTTCTTGGTAGCATTGGCGGTAGGACACAGCAAAACTGTGTGCGCACTTTCTAACGGTATCTCTCGCCTAGACCTTATCTAAGCTCTCATTAACTCTCGATCAAACTCGTATGTAGTTGTAGTTGGTGGTCGTCGTAGTGTGGTAATACCTCCCGCTGGCTGCAATGAGGAACAAAAGCACAGTCTGTAGTTGATGATATTGTGTTGGTAAGGTGGTTCCCTGATCTTCAACAGTGCTACTCAGCCACGCAAGAATGAAGCGCAATCCATGCAGGATTGCTGTAAGTTTGTAAGTAATTGCAAACAAGTGACATTTAGATGTGCAGCGCACCGATTTCATTCCAGTCAGGCAATTAAGACTGGCGGAAAATTTCGTAGAATCTCTATCTCTCCAACATTCCCTTACGCTGCAAAATTGAGAGTGATGCAAGCCACATCGCACCGTAAGAATTGTTATGAGACTTTTGGCTGCTGCCGCACCGCCGCGTCTGCTGAACATCGAGCGTATCACGCGATAGACATCCAACCCAACTGTTAGATGGCTCTACAACACTATAAGATGTCCCCGTATGTACTTGAGCGTTAGTAAGCTATTCTTTCATCACAATGCCAGCTGAAAAATGCAAACTTATGCTTTGAGGCCAGGTGGATCATGACCCATTGGGTCACGGCAAGGCCCCCTACATAAGGGTCCGGCGCTTGGTTCCTGGTGGAACTGTGCCTTCCGCATGTCAGTCTTCAAGGCTGTATGTAACGGTGTAATAGCTAGGAATCAGTGCAAGAATTCATACTGTGCGGGCCCCGCACCACCCAAAGGATAGCACCCTGAACACCTTTGCACAGAGATAACTGCGGTTTTATTTTCGTAATGTATTTAGAGAGAATTTATTACTGCGCAGCTTTCACAGCAGTCTGCTGTAGGCGTCATGTAACTCTGGACTTCCCGAGGCGTGCACAAGTTGAATATGCTACATATATGCAAGGTTTAGCAAAATCTCACCAGGGGCCTGCACTAGGAACGCGTGTTGCCTGTATCATTACACTTTGTTGCTATTCGATGTCAGAACAGCCAAAATTACATTTCTCAATTATTTTTTTAGCTCGCATTGCATTCATCATTTTTATACGGAGTTTACCAGAGCGTCAGAGACCGGCTATCGAACCGGCATCAATTGGGTTTAAGCATGCTTTAGAGGCCTTAGAGGGCATGGAACCCGAAACACGCGCGAGCTCGAGTGCACGGACTTGGCGTATAAGACCTCACAATTTTAGCTCCAGCTTAATAGCTCTAACGTACCAAACTTACTGGAGATACTAACTTAACTAAAACTACTTAATGAAATACTACAGATAAATGACTAAGATTGACTAGATATTAAAGACCGCGCAATATGGGACGGTATGGGTTTATGATCATTCCATCAACAAAAATGAATGCCTTGACCGGTCGAGAGTGCTGCAGAGGCACCCGATAGCCCCACAGCAGCGCTATCGAATTCACACGGTCGCACTGTTCACGTGCGATTACAGGCATCGTTCTCGGGCACTGTGTGATGAGCCGCCCATCTCCTTCCGGGCAGGCCGATCGTATTTAACAACGCGCCGTCAGGGCTCCTACGAGCAGAATGGGGGTGCCGGACGATGATCGATTTCCATTGCCGCCCGACAGTGTCTCCACGTTGATATCGGGTGCATGTGCTCATCGCACAGACCAAAGCTATTTAACATCGGACCCCGTGACGTTGCAAAACACCGCTACGAACTTCCGGTGAGTGATGTGTGAGTGGTGTGTGGGTGGACGTAAGCGATGTGTGACGCAATGAATATTTGGTCGACCACTGCCAGGTGGTCGACCAAATAAAATCAATGCCTCGATCGGGCAAGTGTGCTGAAGTGACAGCTAAAAGTACAAGAATAGCGCTTTCGAAGACAGACGGTCACACGCCTACTGCACAAATATAAGCATTTTTCCGGTTCCCCGTGTGCTGACCATCACGCTAAGGGCCAGGATAATGCAGTTAGTACTCCACCGCCAGTGATCATGATGATTGGGGCTTTACGTCCCACCAAGACTGCCAGGAACAGTCCGAGACGGATGTCTTTATCAGGGGTCATGAAGGGTGCGGTGGACGTGTGACAGAAGCTCCATCCCAAAACCGACAAGTCCAGAATCGAGGGTCATAACCACTGCACCACTACCGACCCAGGTGCCGTGAATGGGTTACATCAAAGAAGATGAGATATTTCGGCTGATGGCCGATTTTCGGTGTCGCACAAAAGTACTCGAAAAATGATATCCTTTACACGTGGTCACATTCGATGCGCACGAATGAAGCGTTATGAAATGGACCCCATGACTG